ATCAAAACCATGTGACAAATCGGCTGTTTCTGCTGATGGTGTTTTACTACTATGTTATCAATACCACCGTCATCCGATCAAACAACTTGATTGAAACACACCTAATTCACTTTTTATTTTTTACTTTGAAAAGATTCGCTTCACGTATTGATGGAATCCCAGATACTGAAGAATGATGCTGAAAATTCAGCTATGCCATCACATATAATATAATAACACATATTAAAATTGAAAACAGTTATTTTAATATTTAACTGCTTTTAAAAACATTATATCTTATAGACTTTAAACTTTTGAATGGTATGTATTATGTATGTGTGTGTGTAAAATCTGTATTATTATTGTTTACTTTAACAATTTAATTTGACTTTAAAATGTTGTAATAAGTCAGTAAACACATTTTGACAGTATGGTGGCAGTCATCCCAGCAAGTTGTGCATAGCTAGTAGGTGGAGTTCAGACGTTGTTTGTTACTACGGTTCACAGGGTCGCCTTTCTGACAGGCCCTTTTGATGTTTCAAACTCTGGTGTGATAGTCATTACTGGGTGATTGGCTCTCAATAAAAGGAGAGAAGAGAGCCATTCAAGACCCTGATAATAACTCCAGCTAGGATGAGGCTGTCATTCTCTTGGACTCTGATATTCAGACTTTTTTGCACACCTATTGGGGTGTGTTTTTTTTGGAAATAGGAGGTGCTTTTAAAATTATCACTTGATTAGCCAATGCTTCATGCAAGTATGAGTTGAGGTTTCTGGAAGAAGGACAGTGAACAATTCTGGAAATAGAACATTCTTGCTCAGAATTGAGTCCTTTTTTAAGTCCTCTAAACATACCAATGTTTGGTGTTTTTACAACCACACTGCGAAGGTTAGCATACCCTCATGCAACACATTTAGGAAAATCTCTCCACACCTGTTAATACTAATAATTCAGTATGCACAGAAATATGAAATAAAAATATCCTCATGGAACTTGAAGGCAAATTTGAAGTTTGCACACTTGGAACATCTCCCACATCTGTGAGTCGCGTCTCTTTTTGATTATCACTAAGGATGAATGTCCACCAATCACATACACAATCTTTTCACTTTAAAAAGTAACAGTCCATGTTATCACTCAGATCTCTGTCAACTTTCCAGAGAGGACGAATACTATGAGCTGTTGATCAGATAGACTGCTAACTTATCACTGATTTTGGCTACAATGGACAATGGTCACGAAGCAGGAAATGCAAATAGGCTTGTTGTAGATTGATCTTCAGTTGTGGCGGCAGTGGACCGATCCCGAATTAGAAACGGATGTTTATGCAAGCGACCGCACAGTGTGGCACTCTGGTTATCTTGGCCACCTGCATCGGAGGCATCTAGCAGGAAGTCTGTGGTCGACATGAGACATAAATCATTGTGCGATTCACCACAATCGCATTATTACAAAATAAGCTAATATTTTGGGAGTTTCATACGAGTAGTCCACAGAATATGTAACGAAAAATGAAATAAAAAATACTAGTAACTAGTGGATAAAATGTACGTTTTTGTGCTGATGCCATTTACCATTGGTTGAATGTCAGTTGAAGTACTTTGAAGCGAAACATGGAGACTGAGTTCGCATTGGGGGTGGAGGTGGGTGATGTAGGGGGATTGGAAGAGAGTCCGTATGTTAGCAGGAGAGCGAAAACAATTAATAATGGGAGCTATTAGGGGGAGATCGTCATCGCAAAGAGGGAGGTCAGATTTCAGGCCCTTTGGAGGACTTTGATGGTACAAAACAGGCCTCATTACTGAGATATTATCTCCATTCATACACTTCCAGAGTTGATGGGAGCCCTGCTGGGAAAGATTAGGTTCCTTTCGCAAGTGAACATCCCACATGGCCGCACAGATTTTCTCAGCTCAGGGCGCAGCCGGCATAACATGGCATCATGGGAGCTAAGCAGAGGCCTATTGACGGCCAATGATGTGTGGAATTAGAGATAGTTACCTTTTCTGTGAGGTCATGTCAATCAAGATTAAGTCAGATATGTTATTTATTTTTTTATTTTTTTGTCTTCCGGTACATTAAATACAGTTTTTCAGAATCTGTCAATTCTTTGGCATTTAAAAAAAACATTAAAAAATAATAGTATGCAGTACTATTTAATAGTTTGGATTTTTTTGTGATGCTAGGAAGCTGAGCGGACGTGGAAAGCCAAGCTCCCAAATTTTGGTCTCTGTCTTACTTTAAACAAACTTTTTATTTCTCAGAAAGAAGTCTCTTATATTCACCAAGGCTGAATTTATTTATTGATCAAATATACAGTAAAAGTGGTAACATTTTAAAATATTATTTCACTATTATTGGTTATTTATGTGATGACAAAGCTGACTTTTCAGAAGCCAAATACTCTTTAGTGTGACATGATCTTTCATAAATAATTCTAAAATGCTCCACCAGCCATTCTGCAATGTACATTGTGTTTGATTTACTAAAAGGTTTAGATCATGGCAGTTGCGGGGTTGTGTTCTGAGTGATATAACTGTGTTGTGGACATGCATTTAGCAGAGGTACTATCATCCACACATTAGCCTGAACAAGTTTATCATCACATCTGACATTCATATGTGGACAGAACTTTGTTCTTGAACTTCTAAGTGCAACATCTTACAATTCCCCCTAAAAGAATGTAATTACCATCAATTTCCAAGGAAGCGGGGGCTGATATTATGGACTTCCAGGGTCTTTGAGTGTGCTAGAGGGGCACAAGATTGCCCATACTGTATCTTCATGGAAGGGTACATCTGTAAATTAGACAGCAAGCAAGTCAAAAGGGAAGGACAATAGACAAGTTATTTGCTTTATTTTTAGCTACAAAATTTTGGCTACATTGTGTCAAAATTGGCTTGGAACTCTCCTTAATAAGTCATGCTTTCAGGTATTATTCTTTTCTGTAGCATTTTTTTTGAGCAGGATTAGCTTTAGGTTTAATGCTTACATTTGTTCAGATCCCTAACCTTAAGTATGAGCAACAGTAATAGTGATTAGTGCCTTAGAACGCTTCGCTAATTAAAGCTGCATCCACTTTTACTGCTTTTTCTCAGACTGAAGCCAGCTGTTGAAGCGCACAGCATGACAGTGATGGGTACTTTTCTGTGCCATCCATTTTTGCGAGGAGCATAAAGGTTGACGGGGAGGAGAGAAATTAAAGGTAGGGGTCCACTTCAGCTAGGTTTAATTGGGGATGAAGGACTAAGATGTATGAGACTAGAAAAAAAACTAGGCTTTGAAGTACATTAGCAAGAAACCCAAAGGCCGATATTCCCAAGCAGACGGGAATGACTGCGGGGAGCTGGAAAAGACTGCAGACTGCTGTCTCCATAGGATTTTACAGGCTAAGTTTGAGGATTAAAGCTTCACAGACTTGTTAGTTAACTAGCTACAAAGTGTGAAGTGACTGACTGTTCTCTGTAAAACACACTTTTCAAGCTTATTTTCACCCTCTGCCCCTGGGCTGCACACTTCATTGAAACCAGGAGGCTTTGAAAAGGATGTCAGTGCTTCAGAGCGGAGGTTCGTTTAGACAAATGTGCCGCCAAATGCCACTTATTTAAGTAGAGCACACAACATCTTGAGCAGCGATAAAGAAGGATTTTGTAAATATTTGACTTGGTGTCCTTTCTGAAAATGTTGTGCTTTTTTAGGCGCCCAGCTGTTCATTAATACAATTCCAGAGTGATTTTCACTAGGTCAGAAGCTGACTTAAATGTCCATTGGGACTGTTAACTTACAAGTGCCATTACAGGTAAGGGAGAATTCATCCTTTTTTAAAGTAGTTACAAAACCCTTAACTTCAGTTTGATTAAACTGTTATTTACCTGATTATTAACTTCCACAGACACAGATGTGATGGCAACAGTTTATTTTGAATGTAAAATGATACGGCGCATCTGAGGATGAACAATTTCCTTAAAGTCCCACTGAAGTGCCTTGGAACGCGCAGCTTTGTATGATGCGTTGACGAAATTTCCACTGAAGCTGAGGCGGGACATATTGAATGGCTCCACCCCCTTTTCAAATAGCCAATAGCGTTTAGTTTACCTCAAAGACTGCAAGTCGTACCTGAGAGCACCATGGAAGCGAATCCGAGCACTGATGATACGCTGGATTCAGTACTAGAGGTGTGAATAAATTCTAGCCATTTCATTCTTAACCAACGTACGGTTGGAAAACGCCAACCCATATTGCTCCGTGACGTGTTGTAACGGTCACTTTGTGTTTTTATGGTAATTTGAGGTAAAATGAGAACTGCGCATGCGCGTAGAGTGTCAGTTATAGATTTGACAGGTAAGGAGAAGAGATAACCGCTCTACCGACTTTTGTACTCTTTCTTTTATTTCCTTTTATATTGTGACCAAAGTTGGATGTTTGTTTGTATACTTTTTCTCACTCGATCCCCATGTATGCGGACGAGTGTGACGTTTAAGTAATTTTATTAAACACAGGGAAAATACGCCATCTCTCGTCTCTCTATTGTTTTTCACTCTCTGGGCAACATCTCAACTTTGCGTTACATAGTCAACTGTCACTTTGGCCAGGTGCCATTTATAGCATAGGGAGCGGGACGCTTCTAGGGATCATGAAATTGACGATTCTAGGGAGCATTTGTTTGGACAGAAGATGTGATGAGAAGCTGAAGTCCGCGGTGATGTCATAAAATACCGTGATCCATTTTAGCGGAAGTGAGAGACTGTACTTTTTTAATTATTATATTTCCTAAATGCAAATTTTGTCACCGTTTTGGAACACACCAGCTTATTCATAACCTTAAGGCTAAAATATTCATACTAAAAGCTAAAAAACTTAAATTTTGATTTCAGTGGGCCTTTAAGGGAAATGAATGACAGTACGGTAAAAGGTAAACAATATTGAGAGTGACATTTACTTGATTATGAATAATACAGGCCCCACCCATCCAAGTCCCCCAGATGCAAGCCCTGCCCTGAATAAAATGCAGGAAAGAACTGAGCCACCCCACCAAAGAGCAAGCAGACAGCAAGGCACAGAGAGTGAGAGAGAGAAAGACACCCATTTACAGCTTTACTGCCTTGTTCAGTCCGTCAGACTTGCTCTCACTGCCACCTCTATCATATCCTCTCCCTCTCTTTCTCTCTGTAGTCTCTTTGAATCTTTCTCTCTCTCTCACACACACACACACACTCATTCAAATACACTCATTCAACTCAGCTCATTCACAGGCACGGGTCAGGCAGCCTCACATTTCACCTTGCTCTGCCTCTGGCTGAGAGGAGAGCCCTGCAAGGTGCAGCCATCACACAGGACACAAGCTCCCGCAACTCAGTCAGGTTGGACTGAGGGACCTGAATGCTTTAGGACAATCTGACAAGACCGAGACGTTTCTTCAGGATGGAATTGCAGAGTTTTCATTCATCACTCTGAAGAGCAAAACCAGAAGACAGCTAGTTACAAGACCATTTTCTTTTTTCAAAGAACTTTTACCATCTCTTCTCATGTTCCTGCTAAAGGGGTCTGCGTGAGGCAGAGCACCCAGCGAAGACCAGCATCATGCCGACTACTTGTGCAAGGTGCACCTTGGGAGTCTGACCCATCATGTGCAAATGGACACCTACTACCGCTGGTCTCCACTTCGACCTCACCTTTGCTGGCTCAGCCCTCCCTTCTTATCCATTTTCCCTGGTATGCCTGTCCTTGCTCTTTCTGGCTTGCACTGCTCTCGGAGGTTGCCCACCTGGACTGGGGCATGACCCTCTTCATGTGCTGGCACAGGGCACAAACTGCTCTTGGACTCTGGAGCGGCACACACGCAGCTACAACCATCTAGAGGGTGATGTTCGCCTACGACGCCTCTATTCCGCCAACAAGTTCTTTCTCTGCATCGACAAGACGGGCAAGGTGGATGGCACCCGTCGGAAGAATTACGCTGACAGTGAGTAGACACACAGTGTTTTCCTGCATGCATGTGTTCCTGCAGAAAGGGAGTCGTGCTCATTTGGTCTCTTTATGATCTTCCATTGAATCTTATCATTTGAGTTTTATGGCTCTTTTAGTCCTCTGCTTGTAGGGTCAGACTTTTTTATTACTAGCATGTACAAAGGTGTTGCTAGGTAGGATTTGTAATACGCAAAACACTTCATGGGAATGTGAAGGCCCTTATATTGGCCCACAAAATACTACGATTTGAAATATGGAAGTCTGTCTCCGCCTCAGAGTTCAAAAAGAAAAAAAGTAATTGTGACTTTATCTCTCATGATTGCAGCTTTATATCTCCTAATTGCAACGCATCTTATCTTGTGACTTAATTTTTCACAATGTGACAATTTCTTGTTACTTGTGACTTCTTGTTATTGTGACTTTATATCCCACATTTGTGACTTTGTCTTAATTTTTATGTATATAAGTTACCTGTTTTATTTTTTACTCGGAAGAAGAAACTGACTTATATATAAATAAGGGATCAGTTGAACAGGAGAGGATTTGTCAAGTTTATCCTTCATTGGTCCTTCATTGTAAAATGGAATGGAAAATTGAATTACAACTGTATATTTTGTTTGCAGTTAAGTACAGTTTCATATTTTCATATATTCAACATAGGTTTTTTTTTTAGAATCTTAAAACATTCTGCACCCTGTCAGAAAAAAAGTGCAAACATTGTTGTCACTGGTGCAGCTTGTCACTGGTGCAGTACCCTTAAAGGGACGACTTTGTACCTAGGTGCATACCGTAATTCCTCAAATAAAGACCGGTATTCAAATAAACGCCGGGCCTCTGATAGTGGCCGGGGGCGTGGTCAACGCGGACAAATAAAGGCCGGTTTTAAATTAAGGCCGGGGAAAAAATAGTGTGAATAGGTACACTTTAAATGAGTGTACACTTAAAGACGGACGCGCTCAGCGCTTGTCATATATCACAACTATTCAGTGTTTTTAACCACATGTTTATTTTAGGTTTCAGACATTTAAATAGATATGATTTATAGCAAAACAATAAATTTATAGTTTGTAAAATACACAATGGTGTCTATGGAAGCAGCAATAACAATCCATTCAAATATATTTGGCGACGTGTTTTATTCATATCAGATACACAGTGTAAGTAACTATAAAGTTTACTCTATTCTTCTCCCAGTTCACCGGCCACTTACTTTCATGTATTTCGGGAGAAACTGAAGAATTCACGCGCTGTAACTTAACAAATACAACAGGAATCTCCGAACTGCGGTGCCCATCTCACGTTACAGATCAAGATCATTTATAAAGGGTTTTAAACGACAAAACAAACTCACTTACACGGATTTGAGAGTCAGAATAGAAGATAGTTGATGACATGGTAAGCAAGTTTGTTAATATTTAGAAATAAAAGCGCTACATCTGTCATACAGCGCTATTTTGGCTGTGGTGAACACGTGCCAAGCATGACGCGTCACCATGGAAACTTGGCTGGCGGGCGGGCGGGGATCGCGAATTAGAAATAAAGGCCTGCCTCTAATAAAAGCCTGCTTCAAATAAAAGCCGGCTACCATCTGCAGTTCAGGTAAATAAAGGCCCCGGCCTTTATTTGAGGAATTACGGTATTAGTACTTTAGAGTATGTATTAATATGTACACTTAAGGTTCTGCTATTACATTTAAGGGCTAAATAAGTTGCAAAGATGTCCCTTTGAGGGTAAAGCCCCAGTGAAGGGTTGAACCTTTTTTCTTTACTTTGACTATTTTAGCCCCACTGAAAATTCTGGTTTTATGCACATTTAAAAAAAGCAGGTGCAGTTGGTAGAAAGTTGGCAGATTTATACACTGATAAATCCACCAGATGTGTCTTTTTAATCAGGGCCATTACAAATCACTTCTCCCCTACCTCCTAATTTGGTTCCATTATCTTTACACTTGTTTCAGCTGGAGTTTTACGTTATGTCATCCTGTGTCAGGGTTTAGCAGTGGCTTTCCGTTCATTTGAATTTGGGATTTAACTGGTCTGTGTCATGGTGGGTTGACCCTAGTTGTTGTTGCAAAACAGAGTGAGTCAGACTTTTTTCCAGGAAAGTTGCTTTAACTGCTCTGCCACTGTGCAGATCTTAACTGTTGCATGGCATCTGTTTATAAGTTTCTGCTATCCACGGCTGTCTCAGATCAGCTAAGATGCTTGTGCTTAATACAGCTGGGTGAAATTGTACAGCCCTCAGAAGCAATTTGCTTGAGCATTTACTTACCATCCTCTCATTTCCTGTCCCTAAATTAAGGTCATTTAAAAAAAAAAAGAGGGTCCCTTTCACAGAAAAATATACTGCATTAATTAGCCGTGCAGAATTTCTCTATATTGCCTTTACTTGCTTTCAGGGTTCACATTAGAGGAAATTTTAGATTTTCACAAAAACGGGCTTTGAAATATGTATCATGACTTCATTCAGTAAACTCAGAATCAGAACTTTGTTTTACATTGATCTTGTTGGTGTTGCTTTGCTGCTGTCCACCTTGTCCTCTGCTTAGCCCTCAGCGTCCGTCAACACTGCTGCGTTGCCCAAACAGCCCTGCACTGACTCTCCCTCTCACTTTTTCCAACTCTCGCTCCCAAACTCTCAGGTGCAAAAACAGTTGGAATAAGTCAACGGGCCCTTGGCTAATTGAGGTAGGAAAATATTGTATCAATCCCAGTGAACTGCAGACTGGAACAGCTGAGAGAAGAGGCTTCGATGAAAAGGTCTGAAAGATAGATTGAGCGGTAAAAGGATGCAGGGGATATTATTGCATTTGTGCATTGAACAGTACGTTTGAGAGTTTCCATACTTAATTCTCATGCTGAGGATTCCTTTAAAGGGCTGTTAATGGGCTAATAACTGCATGTTTGGAAGATTGCTCAAGTTTAATTTGTTAGCAAAATAATTTTAGATAGCACTGTTTGAGCCAGGACAAAATTAAGCAACATGCATGGAGGAAATGTCTTGCATAATTGTGCAAATGATTTTAGAGCTTAACGGGCCACAAATTAGCCTTGCTTTGGCTCCAATTCCTGAAACTTGTTTTTGTCCAGGTGCTGAATGGAACAAGCACTTTGAGGTTTCAGGATTCAAAGTAGATTGATGTCAATCTACTACAATAAGATTCTCATCGTTCACAATTAATGGCCGCCTAATGCAAACTAAACAAGCTCATTTGACTATTATTTCACAGTTGAGTGCAAATGTAGTAGTGCACCTGACAGTGCTTATTGACTGTCGGCTGTACAAAAACAGACACAGTCCCAATCCCTTTGCTAGCAACTATTCTGCCATTAAAAGGAGCAAACAAGAAAAAATTAGTCAATTTCATGATTTTACAAGCCCTCCAAAAATCGGATTGTCAATGTCAATGTCAATGTCACCTTTATTTATATAGCACTATTCAAACAACACAAGTTGACCAATGTGCTTTACATTCTCACTGAAAAATAGAAAGAGAAACATACTACAATAGTAATAGAATAAAAAATAAATAAATAAAACACAAAACAAAAAAAACATTTAAGACGAATAAGCCATGGCAAACAGATATGTCTTAAGTTGTACTTTAAAAACATGTACAGAGTCAGCATCCCTAACATAATAATGATGGCAAACTATTCCAAAGTCTTGGCGCTACTACTGCAAAAGCCCGATCCCCTTTCTGGCTTAACTTAGTCCGTGGAATTTTCAGCAACTTTTGAGTTGATGATCTCAAGGCTCATCCTGATTGATACTCTACTAACAGAGCTGATAAATAAGTCGGTGTAAGGTCATGGAGTGATTTATACACCAATAAAAGAAGTTTAAAATCAATTCTATATTATACAGGAAGCCAATGTAGAGCGATCAAAGATGGAGTGATGTGTTCTCGTTTTTTAATATTCAATAATAATCTCGCTGCCGCATTTTGGACCTTTTGCAGCCGTAAAATAGAAGCCTTACTAATACCCTTATATAAAGAGTTACAATAATCAAGTCTTGACGATATAAGTGCATGAATAGCAATTTCCAGGCTCTTATACGTCAAACACGATTTCATCTTAGCCAAGTTTCTCAAATGAAAGAAACTTGTCTTCACCACATGATGGTTTATCTGTGCATGTAGCTTCAGAGAGCTATCGATGTAAACACCCAAGTTTTTAACACGTTCTTTTACATGTATTGAGAGTGGGCCGAAATTTAACTCCGCTGAGCTCCTTGTTCTTCTAGACCTGCATACTACAATCTCAGTCTTATTTTCATTAAGATATAGAAAGTTAGAGGCCAACCATGATTTAAGTTCAGACAGGCAGGACATTAGAGGCTCCAGGCTACTTCCGTTTATTAATGGTAAGTATATTTGCAAGTCGTCTGCATAGCAATGAAATGCAATGTCATACTTCCTAAAAGTATCTCCCAACGGCAGCATGTAAAGTGAAAAAAGTGTTGGGGCCAGAATAGAGCCTTGTGGCACACCGCTTGTCAGTGGTGTACAACTTGATGTATACTGGCCGAATTTCACTGCCATGCTTCTTTCAGTCAGGCATGACCTAAACCAATTTAGGGCCTTCCCCTGAATCCCTACATATTCCTCTAGCCACGACAGCAACGCCGCGTGATCTATTGTATCAAAGGCTGCGGTTAAGTCTAATAAAACTAACACTGCTGAATGACCAGAATCCACTGTCATTGTGCATGGCAAATTGTCTACTACAGTATAATGAAATATTTACAATTTATAATTTATATGTTGCTTGCCTCACCTTTCAATGGACATGTATTTTGCACACTGGTGTAGTTTCACAATCTACCAGCGAGGGCTAACAAGCTACCCAGCCAAAATTTGTGAAGACCCATACACTAGTGTGAGTTTCACCTGCTACTCTATCAATAATGGCCTTCAATTTAGCAAATTAGTTCATTTTGCTCAAGGCAAGCTATCCATGAAATTAATATTGTAAGTTTCTTTAGATATAA